TTACCCATTTGTATTTGTGAATTATTGTTATTGTTATGATCTACATGCTAAATAAATGCTTAAATTAGAAATATACGCGTAAATGATGTAAACAAAGCAAAAAAAATAAAAAATACTTATTGTTCGGAAACCCGTGATCACCCTCTGTATGTGAAAAATGATGAAATTCTACAAAAATTGAATCCGATTTTAATGTAGTGTAACTTGATATATACTCTTATAAATACTTTAATATTATATATAATTCTTTAATTTAAAAACTCTAATGTGTCGAGTCTTAATATCTGAATAATTTTTGATTACAAAGTTAAATACAAAAAACATTAATAATCGTCCAGGATATGACATGAAATATGTCATTTCGTTTGTTTCAAATTATTGTGATAGGTTATATAGCAGTAAAGAATTACAAAGGCTTTTTGCAACTGAAAATTATATGATACTTTATTAATTATTCGACTTAATGAAACTTCACAACAATGGGCTATTCGTGTGAGTTTCTTTACAAGAGCTGGTATCTGAAAGAAAAAGGAGCGTTTACCATAAACATTGTTTATTTGGAGCATTCGGAAATTTTAAGCAGATTTTGATAGAGCTAGGATTCATAAAAGTCGCATAACGATCCGTATAGATTGTATGAAGCTTATTCGAGTTAATGATGTAAAACCTAAGAAATCATTCCATTATTCTTGGCAAAGATTTGTGGAAAATATCGAACCGAACGATTTTATGCAGTATCATTGGGATTTTCAATGCTCTAAATCAAAACACATAACAGTAGTGCACGAATTATACAAAAACTCATCAGAATTATAAACCAGGGCCTATGTTATTGACAAAGCAAGTTGGAACGTTGTAATACTCCTAAAGAAAAGAACTTTCTGGGGATGCCGAATTCTGATTATAGGTATATATATGGGAGTATTTGTTCGTGAGGGATACCATTTATATTGGTGATCGTTCCAATTGGCCAATAAGAATTTGGGTAAAATTTTTGGCCTGGATGGATGTTACCTCGATTATAATCCGAGGTCCTATCATACACCAAAACTATCAGCTACAAATTTGAGTCAATTTTGAATTAAATATTGGGGTGTGTTTGGATACAAATTCTGATCGGCTAATTTGAATTTCACACGCGTGAATTTCAAAAATTGACGCAGATTATTTATTATTATTATCAGACTGAAAAATTTCGGTTTTCCCGAAATATTTATATTAATGCTGAAATTGGAAGTGTGAATATCCTTTTTCAAATTATATTTGATAATTGTTACTTGTTTGCTGCTTTTTTAATTTAAAAACAGCCAAACCTCGTCACAACGGATCCACGGGAATATAAGAATAAAATCCGTTATAACGTGAATTTAATTATAATACAATGTGGCAAGGTTTGACTATACTTGAATATTTTGTCCGATTACATAAAGAGCCTCTTCGAATTGGTGCGCGATATTAGTTATCGCACTGGTTTTTGTAATTTTTTAATTTTGAAAGTCAATGACGCATATAGCAACAAACTTTTAAAAATCTAATTGGTTGCCTATTATTAAAGCACAAATTAAACAGCTGTGTCAATTTTTACTTGATATTAATACTTGAGGATTCTTTATTTGTTGTTTTTTTTACAAAGCGTAAAAATCACGTCGTGTTCAAAGCTGTACTGGTTACTCAAGCTTAAAACGCATAATGGTGAGTCGATTTTGGTACGGAAAACGGGTTTTATACAATATTCGATGTTGGTTATTGCAATTGTTAAGCGGTTTTTTATCGCACAAAATTCGGTTCGGTTTGGTTTCGGTTAGCCCTCTAAACAACTCCATTCGGAATTTACTTATCAAAACGGTTTTCAAGTGTTTTTCCGAAATTTTATTAATAATAATAAAATTCTTAATCCTGCCATTTTTTTGTGTATTGAAATGAATTTTATTTTTAATCATAATAATAAATAAATACAAAATTTTTTAAAATAATCTTCTACATAATGGACAACTTGTAGAGCCTGAGCTACGAAACCACTAATAAAATAAAATGAATTGTATTAATTGGTTAATTAATTAATTACTAAGTATTTTTTAAAAAATCCATCAATAAATTTCTGTTTTTACCTTGTAAAGACATGCTGGGTGGAATCTATTTTTACAAGTGTTACATCTTTTAGTTGGTAAAGATCTGTCATCAAGACTAATGACTGAATAACAAATTGTACAATCTTCAACTCCTTGGAAGCGTAAATTGATGTTATTTTTAAACAAATTTAAAGCAACTTCCAAATTACCATTCTAATAATAATAATAATTTAATTGTAAATATCTAATAAGAATAATATCATCAAAATTTATTTGCGTACCTGAGAGTTAACAATAGTTTGTATAGGTAGTTTTGCCCATTTCAAATCTGTAACTTCTGTAGTACCTATTCTTTCTATAGTATTAAATTCTGCTAGGCTCAATGGGTAATTAGTTGGAAGTCGTATACTAAGCTCCATAATATATTCATCCATATTGAAAGTGGAAATCACCTCATTGGAACTTCTTGCAACTCTTATTGAAAACTTATCATCTTCCAATTCATATCTTACATTATCATTTAGAAGTGTGTCAAATTGTTGTTGGATAATTGATGAACTGAAATGTTTTTCGGTGTAGCTATATATTTTTTTATAGGATATAGATTTTATTAGTATTCCATTATTATTTACTCAATAGAAGATAAAAATCTTACTTGTTGATGGCAATGCTCAATTGACGTTTTTTACATTCCGCATGCCAATTTCTAAATTTTTAAAAAATTTTAATAAATGATTATAAATTGTTAATTTACTCATTCATTTATTTTTAATTATTTACCTTACGAGTGATGGAAAATGTATCAAAGACCGATAATATAAATTTGCACAAAGTAAAGGAAATCCAACTTCTGAACATACCCCGCGATCAAATCCTAAACACAAGAAATATTCCATAAATTAAAACTTATTATTTTTATTTTAAAAAAAAATTATGAATATATTATATACCTTCAACGTAAAATTCTCTAAAATCCCATTTTGCTAAATCATATGGTGATGTTGATTTAACAAAACCTAAAGTCTCAAATATAAAACCAAAGAGTCTTGATGTCAAATCAAATTCTTTTAATTGTGCGATGAGTTCCGACTTTAATCTAAAAGTCTGATATTTTTTAAAAGAAAAAATTAAGATATTTGAAGGTTTTAAAATAATATATTCGAAAAAGATTTATATAATAATAATAAACTTACAGTATTTTCAAAATAATCAAAAATGATTAACCAAGTTAATAAATATCCAAAAATCTTATATTCATTCTGCAATAAAATCAATAAACCAAAGAAAGAAATTTTAAATTTAAATATATCACTATTATAATACTTTTAGAATACATAAATATAATATTTACCAATATATTAATATCAGTTGAATTAATATTATCAAGATAATTGCTATGATTTGCCTTTTGAATCAAGGAAACTATCCCTTCATCAAATTCTAATTTAATTTCTATAAATATATAAATATAAATTGTATAATTAAATGATTATCTTTCCTTCAATTGATTCAAATATAAAATCAAATAATTTAAATAATCACCAGTGCCTACGATCTCAAACTCATTGCTTATTCTTTTAACTCTTCTAGAAATATATCGATGTAATATTTTATAAGTACATTTTTGAAATTCTGTGTGAGGAGTGTTAAGTAAACGATAAACCTAATAATAATAACAACAACAACAACAACAACAATATTTGATTAATTTGGCATTCTAAAATGAAGAAGATCTTTTTATAAAAATTTTAATTATCAATTATTAATTGTTCTTTAAATAGCTAGTTACCTCGTTTCTTCTATTAGAAAAACTATAACCTTCTGATTCTTGAAATAATTCCGACAGAATATTTAAATAAGCTTCATATTCATCAGATAATAACTCTTCAAAATCTTGTAAAAAATAAATAAATAAATAGTTTATTTGACAGTATATATGTGTGTGTGTATGTGTGTGTGTGTGTATGTATGTATGTATGTATGTATGTATGTATGTATGTATGTATGTATGTATGTATGTATGTATGTATGTAAATACCTTTTTCATTAATGTATATAATCATTAAATTATCCAACAGTGGTTTACCAACTGAACTATAAATTTCATATAAAATATTCTCTTGATCAGGATTTTCGTGTTCCTTTAATTGATATTTTTTTAGAAAAATATATATAAATATAAATTAAATATTTATGCACAAATAACAAAAAAGATATATCTATACCACAAAATTTTTCAATCTGTTGTATAATCGAAGTGCTTCATATAATAATAAAAAATTATTGCTTGGCTATCAAAGAAAATAATAATAGTCAATCATTAATATATAATCAACTTTAAAAAAAATTTTTTTTGATAATTTTACCTCAAACCAATGCTTTAATAAATCGAATGTGATTTCCAAATGGGTTTTTTCAAGTTTAATAAAAGATGGCACCAGCAAGTAAAAGATTTTTGCAATTTGAATGTTTATATGAAGATACTCGGTATTGTCATATAAACTTGTTTCTGATAATTTATACCATTCCATTATACTATTGAATAACTTTGAAACATATTCATCTGGCAAGAAAATATAATCATTGCTCTTTGGTCCAGATATTATTAGGAGAGAGAGATAATTCCATCCTATTTTTCATATAAATAAATAAATAAATAAATAAATAAGAGTCTACTAGTAAATTTTATCTTTTGGAAAATCTGAAATTCAAAGAATTTTTAAAATCTACCTTCTTTTGGTGATGACGATGATGACGATACAACTTTTGGGAATCTTTCATTGATATCTAGTCTACATAATTTATTTACTAAATCAATTTTAAATGCTTCAAAATATTCAGATCCTTTGATGTATTGTTCTAACGAATCAATAAATGCCAGCTTGATTTCCAAATTAACTATATAAAATATAATAAATTATTAGCAAATATTATTAATGAATAGTTTACGTAATAAAAAAATATAATAATATTTACATGAACAAGATTCAGATTTTAAATTATTTAGAAAACTATCTATGTTAACAATTGTTAATTTTCCATGTCTGAGTGCTTCAGACAAGAAGACTCTTAGCACCCTTGCCCAATAAAGTAAATGATTGCTACTTGATCGATTTATAGCATCAACGATTAATGAATACAAATTGAAAATTTTATCATCATTCGTAATCTCATTACTGATCATAATATTATCAAAAATTTTATTTAAATCAAAGATTCCACCATGAAATGAAATAGCAGCGTATTGTTGAACAATTGTGCTAATATCATCAAGGAAAGCCGTGAAGCCGTGATAATGACTTTCCTCTGTGATCGCTGAATCCCATAAGTGGTGAACTGCTTTATGCGAGCCATGAATATCAAAACATAGAACATAAATTAGCAATAATTCCAAAAGAATTCCATGAAATCCTGTTGAAATTATCTTTTCTTTCTCCTTCTGCTCTTGTTCTTTATTACTGCTAATCGAAATTCCAAAAAATGTGGGCACACCTATTTTATTAATGATTTCAACAATAACAAGTCCCAAACGCCCATATATTGTAAGCCCGTATAAATCATACTCAATATTCGGTAATATAGTGGCAGCAGTATCTTTAGTTGCTGCTGATTTTCCATGATGATTCAGAAGTGATGGATAAGGTAATATAATAGGATCTATTATGCCTCTAGATGCACCAATAAATCTAGACAAAAAAGGCTCACTGAGATTAATCCATTCGCCATTATTTAAAAGCAATGGTTTGATAACCTCTAATTGTTTTGATGGCTCATCCTTATAGAAACTTTCACATAATTTCATCACTTGCTGAACAAAATCTGTTGGACTATTATGATGAAAAAAAATAATTGTAAATAAACATTTCAAATAGACATATAATATATATTTTAAAAGTAATTTTTAAAAAATTACCTGGCATCATAATTAATATTTAATAAAGAAGATTTGATTTGTAGTGAAATCAACTTGGTAACTTCATTATGACAAGAAAGCAACTTGGAATTTTCAACAAGCAATTCCCAACAACTTTCAGCAATTGATTTAATTCTCACTACTGCTTCAGAATTAGAATCATCTTGAGGTTTTATAAAAGTAAGTTGAAAAATTATTCCAATAACATACATTAAATTTGAATGATCAACAATGATTTTCAGCGATTGATCGTCTTTGAATAATTTTTCAAATGTTTTCAAAATTGAGATCATACTATCATAAATCATCATATTCCTTGTAATAAAATAAGATTCTGTAAAATCAGCAGTGGCTTTTGAAAATAGACTGAAAATTTCTATTTTTGTTTGCTTTGAAATTATATTAACTTCAAAAAATTTTTTAATAAGAAGAGTTAATAATTATTTATTTATTTGAGCATATTTTAGAAATTATTGAAGCAAACCTTTTGATGAAAATGTGTCATATAAAAGTTCCTCGACACCAGTTCTAGTGTTATAATCAAGGTCTTTATCTAATAGGCTTTTTGAAAGATCAATCAAATAAACATTATATTGCTCATCATATAAATTCATTGAAATGATTATTTTTGAAATCTACATGGTAAAAAAACAATTGATCAATTATATAAATAAATCAGGTAAATAAAAACTCATGAAAAACTCATGAACTTACCTTATCAATTAAAGAACGAATTTTGTCAAGCTTAACATCAACATTATCAATACTCAAAATTGTTTTTAATAAATTATTCCAATTTTTTTGAACTTTGTTGATATCCTGACATTTTGTTAAATACGTTGTAAAAAATTCAAAGAGAAAATTCAAAAATATTTTTGAATCATGAAGTACAAGTTCAAGAAATTTTGTACTTATGAATTCTTCAAATTTCTAAAATTTTTAATTTTTTTAAAAATAATAATAATCATATGATAATAAATAAATAAATATTACGAATATATTAACAATTATTTGAATAATCAAATACCTCGATGACATTTGACTTTTCAAATATTATGCAAGGAAAATTCTTTGTCAAATGTGATAATAATAAGCTTAATCCGATGGAACCACCTTCAAAATAATATTAATAAAAATATTTGATAAATTAATAATTAACTCAATATTTAATAAACAATTGGAAGGAATAAATAAGATAAAAAATTCAACCAAATTCATTTAGCTTATCAAATAAAAGTAAAAATATTTCTTCGATAATTTTCTCAATCTAAAATTTGAAATTTTTGTATTTATTCCATTTCATCTCAAGTCATTTCATTTAAATTCAAATTAATAAAAATACCATATTATTCATGAATTGATTTGTTGTTTCATTTTTTGAACTAGCAGTTTCCATCAAAGAAATGTAAAAATCGCCTAATCTTTGACAAAAATCTTTGAAATCATCATCCTGATTTGTAATAATATTGGGAATTTTGCCATTAGATAGATTAGTAAATGTAAGATCTTTGATTTTACTCAATAATATATCTCCTGAATCTTCGCATTCACAAAATATAAATAATAAATATTAATTAATGAAAAATTTTAGAAATTTTCATTTTAATAATAATTTACAAACCTGTTCCTCGTAATTTTGTCAATAATTGGAAAGTGTATGAAGCCAAAATAGAACACATCTGATAAGGCTGGAATTTTGTTCCATTCTTTATTTAACAATAATATAAATAAATTAAAATATGAACTAATGAATCAATAATATTTAAAATTTAATAATTTTCTCAAAGCAGTCATCATCACCTTGAAATCTAATAAATAAACCTTGAATATATGAATATAATGTTTTTCAATAAGATCAACTTGTGTTTCTTTTTTCAACTCAACTTTTCTAAAATAATATCAAAAATTAAAAAAAATTTTTTGCTTCTTTTGCATTAAAATAAAAATAAAATAAAATAAAATAATCACCCTAATTTAACAATAAAATAAACCAAACATTCACAATATGCCTTAAGAAAAACTGCAGAATTTGCCTTATCTATCGATGAATTTGTCAATCCTTTCCAGAAATTTATTAAAAAATCATCATAGAATTTTGCATCATTGTCAATAAGCTGATAATTAAAAATAGTATTTGCATTTAAAGAAACCAAATATGATAATTTATGCATAGTTCATTAAATCGTAATTAACCTCATGTGGCAAATTTCCAATCAATGCTAATATACTAGGATAAGAGATGTTAATGGATCCATAAGTTGCTGAACGAAGAAAATTATAAAATTTGGGAAGTATTGGTTTTTTTTGAGAAGCTATAATCCAAGATTGTGGAAATTCTATAAAATATAGTATATAATATCTTGTTAGGAATTTAAAATTTGCAGCAATAATCACGATATAATTAACATACTCTTGGTAAATACTAATAAAGAATCCCATAAATCTGAATGTGTGTTTATCTCTTTTTCATTAAATGCCTTCATCAAAAATGTTGTACTCAACATTTCCAGCCTATTTTCTACTTGTTCTGGTAAAATTTAGAAATATATAAAATTGAATTTATATAGAAAAATCCTTTAAAACTCTAATAATAAATATCAGACTGCTTACTTGGCCATTTGTTTACCAAAGTCTTGATTAAATTGTAGCAAGATTTGCGTACAATTGAATTGTCATTTGATAAATTTGACCATGTTTTAGTATTATCAAATAGATCTTCATATTGAAAAATGGCTTTTGACAAAGTTTCTTCATTTAATTTTTCTATAAATTATAAGATCTTTCATTCAATTACATGCAATTTTATATAGGTAAGAAAAAACAAGCATATGCCTATTATGTGCACAAATACCTATTAAATTTGCAAGGACATAATAGGAACTTGCCAAAACCCTTGCATATTTAGAATTCATGTCTTCCTTTGACGTAAATCTAGGATCGCCTATTATAATAATATTATTATTTGTTTTAAATAAATGTATGCATGTATATAAATGAAAATCTTTACATACTTAAGGTTTCTGGTGTTTTGTAAATAATTATTTCTTTAATGAAATTTATAATTTCAGATTGACAAAATATTAAAACTTCAATACGTTTTTCAGGTGAAAATGCAGCCTAAACTTCCAAAAACACACACACACATAAATTGTTGAATTAATATTGTGAGAATCAATTTCTTTGTTAAGATTGCAATGTGACAAACCTCGAATGATTCATTAGCAATCCGTGCAACATCTTTACTTTGATCAAACATTGAGATTATCCATACACCAATAATTTCTTTGAGAATGGGCGCAAGTTTCTTTTTGGCTTTTGAAATCATGGATAAATGACAAGAGAATGTAGCATAGCGTATTCTACGATCAACATCAAATGCAGTTTTTACAAATAATTTTGCCTAACCATAATAACAATAATATTAATTTGATTATTTGATTATAATCGTAACCAAAAGTACATATATATATGTATGTAAATTACCCAAGCATCCATTATGCTAACGAAAACATCATCTTTTTCAATTTTATTTTTTAAATATGACTCGAGATCATCCAAAGCTTTTAATTTAGTGGTAGAATCACGTTTTGACAATCTTTTCAGTATTATAACTAATTCTGAGTCTAAGTTTACATCATTCACATTATCAGAATTTAGTTCAGCAGAATTCACATTTGTGAAAGCAGAAGCTCCTATAAATTGTGAAAAGCCTCCTAAATTGCTTACAGAAGTTTGATTTCCTTTTGCAGCTATAACCTCGGCAGCTCGACTAATTATTATTATGGAAATTCAAATATTTTCAAATGCTTGTTTAAATTGGTTCAATTATTGCATAATAAATTTACCTGCTACTGGCAGGCTGAACATTTCCTTTAATACGAGGTTGATTTTTTGGTCTTCCCATGTTTTTTTTCTTTTGTGACGCTAAAAAAATTATAGATTTATAATACGCAGTCGATGATCATAATTAAATTTTAATTATCGTCAAAATGTCATCTTCGAGACGTAGAGGTCGTTCATCCTCTTTAGAAGATTTTCGCTCTTCATCATCAAAACGAAGAAATCGTTCACCTTCACCTGAAGAACATGATAGTAAACATCATAAAAAACATAAACATAAAAAAAAATCAAAAGTATTATATTAACTTTTTAAATCTGATGTCTAGGAAAGTTAGTTACGTTAAACATTATTATTGTTTTTCAATATAGGAACATAAGGAACATAAAGAACGTAAAGAACACAAAGAAGACAAATTATCATTAATCCAATTATCTGCTTATTCAAATGTTGATAATCCATTTGGTGATGTAAATCTTGGCGAGAAATTTGAATGGAAGAAAAAGAAAGATCGTGACAAAAAGATGGGTTTAACACCTGAAGAGATTATGCAGAGAGAACGTGAAAGACAAGAGGAGGCACAAGTATTTATATATAAACAAATTATATCTATGTTAAGAACTATAATATTTATTTAATTCTCATTTAATTTTATGAAACGAAAGCTTGAACTTGAAAAATTGAATAAAAGAAGAGCAGAACGTGAAAGGGAACAACAATTAAGAGAAGAAGAACTTGTAATTATTATCTTTAAACCACTCATGTTTGCTTATATATTAATTTGATGGAATGAAACACATTCATAATTATCCATTATTTATTTTAGGCTCGTATACAAAGAGAATCTGAAGCTGGAGCAATGGGAGATTTGGCTTCTAAAGAAGATGAAGTAAATATTCATTAAAATTTCATAATAGTGATCATAATACTTTTTATATAAATATTATCGATAATAACAACAACATTGTTATGGTGATTATTGTAATTTAGTTTCATTTGGAACAAGCAAAAGTAAGAGCTGAAATTCGCATAAAAGAAAATCGAGCAAAACCAATTGATATCCTTGCAATAAATTTACGATTATCGGATGAGTCTGATCAAGTTGATGAATCATTAGAAATTGATATAGATGAACCATACACTATATTAGAGGTTGGATAAATGGTTATCTTTTATATATAGTTATTGGTCGTTTATAATTATTTTATAATTTCTAGAATTTGAATTTGGAAGAAGTTAAAGAATTGCATGGAGATATTCTGAAATATTTGAGTCTTGAAAAAAACCCAAATCATCTTGAATTCTGGAGGGTAATTACTATGTATATATATATTGTGTGGTATTTATTTGATTAATTAATCAAATGATTAATTGCTCAATTAATTATCTATTTTATTCAGGCAATGATCGTTGTTTGTGACGATAAATTATCTGAACTTCATGATGATGAAAAAAATCATGCAGGGAATGTAATTGCACCAGTAAAAGACGAAATAAATAAGATTTTTGAAGATAAAACATATGAACAACTTCAAAAACTTCAATTAGGAATTCAACAAAAATTATCAGGAAAAGAAGCAGTGGATATTGAGTATTGGGAACAGCAATTGAAGTTATTGACCGTCTGGAAAGCAAAGGTAAACTTATTATTATTATTGTTTATATAAAATAACTTTTTATTTATCATAATTTAAATTTAATTTAATTATTCATCGTTATTTCTTCAAGGCAAAATTAAAAGCAATGCATGAAATAGTATTACAAAAAAGACTTGAACAACTTCGTAAAAAGCAAAGAGAAGAAGCTGTCAAAGTGCAGGAGGAATTGGAAACTGCGCTTGCAACACATTCCCAGCATGTACAAGACGCAATGTCTGTTAATGATAGCATTGACGATGAAGATGAATATGAACATTTGAATCTTGAAGATATTGTGATTGAAGAATATGATCGATCAATGAGTCCTGAGCCATTCCAGAGATTATCTAGAGAAGATAAACAATTAGACATTCTTGAGTCTGGGAAGGATTTGAAAGAATTGGTAAATTATTATCATTATTAAAAACTTTTGAATTTATAAATATTATGTTCAATGGACTTTCATATTAGCTTCACTAATGCATTTAATTTGCATTATTAATTAAATAAAAATTTTTTTAATAGAAAGAAAAACGTAAACGTGTGCTTGAAAATCAATTTATACCAATGAGAGTACAACCTAAGAAACCAACTCTTGAAGAAGAAGAAGAATCTTTTGTAAATATTATATTTATATATATATATATATATATATATATGCATTAATAGTTCTCTGATTGATTTATAATTGTAATTATTTTTATCAGGTTTCAAAAATGTTATATGAACGAGAAGCAGCAAAAGATTTGGATGAAGATGAAACTATTTTTAATATTGAAGAAGAATTAGCTAAAACTGTAAGAAAACAATCAATTGATCAATTAAGCAAAATTAATTAATTGATAATATTAATAATGATTTCCAACAATGACATTAATAGACATATTTATGGCAAGATAAGTATCGACCACGTAAGCCTCGTTATTTCAATCGTGTACATACAGGGTATGAGTGGAATAAATATAACCAAACACATTATGACAGTGACAATCCGCCTCCAAAAGTTGTGCAAGGATATAAATTCAACATATTTTATCCTGATCTAATTAATAAAACTAAAGCTCCAACCTATAAAATTGAAAGGGAGCCTGGTAATACTGATACAGTACTAATAAGATTCATTGCTGGACCACCATACGAGGTAATTTAATATTTTTATGATGATGGTAAATTTTTATTTATTGTGATAATGATGCATTATCTTTTTTTTTGTAGGATATTGCATTTCGTATTGTTAATCGCGAATGGGAATATTCTCACAAAAAAGGATTCAAATCAAGTTTTGATCGTGGAGTTTTGCAACTACATTTTCACTTCAAACGTCATTATTATAGACGTTAATTTTATTTTACGTAATAAAATTTATTATATATTTTCAAATATAAAAATATTATTTATTTATAAATTCATAGAATAAAAAACTAGCGCCAATCTTGTGTTATTATATATAGAAATTACTCTTATGCCCATGTTATTTTACAAGATTACTTACTCTTGTACATAAAAAACTCGAGATCACCATCGTCCTTGTTTATTACATCAAATAAATAACTGTTCTCTTTCCTATCCAAAAAAAAGTACTCCATCAATGTTTTCCTGCTTTACTTTTCATTTCTTCAGTCACGGTTAATACTTGAGATTTTTGAGATTTATTCTTTGGTGTCACCACGGAATGTTGATTTGCATTGTAATCATCAACTTTGAAGATATCCTTAAATAAGTTATGCCCATGGGTCCAGTTCATAAAACATTTTATTGACTTTTTCATATATTTCCTGCGCAAAAATGTTTAAATAACATGTCATTTTCTTTGATGTTAATATAGGAAAAACTAATTCATAATTCTCAACCAACTTTTAGTGCTTACCATTACATGGTTAAAAATCTTTATTGTGAATTTTAATTTCCCGATGTGAGCCAATTTTGTTGGTAACTCAAATGTTGAGCCGGGAAAAACAAACATAAAAGCCATTTACTTACCAGGTTTTCTACTTGTCCACAAACTCCAGCAATTTGCAAAATGGAATTTCACTTGCTCATCAGTCAACTTTCTGCTCAAAAGGATATTTAAAATTGATTGGTTGATTCTAGCTGAGCGACAACGACCTCCAATTGCTTTAGCTGGAGTTGCTTCGGCAGTAAATTCCCACTCACCAAGATCTATTCCTGCGAGATTTTAAACATATGCTACCCCTCTCATAAATTGCGGATTGGCACAAAGGACAAAACGATTCGTTTCCGATGCACAAAAATATTAAGTTTATACACTTGTTAGAGTCCAAAAGATATTCTTTGTTTACCATTTACAATGTATTCCATCTCCATTTTGCAACTCGTCGACAATGTAAGTTCATGCTTTTACAATAACATCAATTTCGGTGTGATGTTTGCTGCCACAATCTAAAAGATCATTTCTGTCTCTAACTTTAGAAAAGTAAATAAAGGCACCCTAAATACACCATTTACGCAAAAACGTACATAATAATTGTACAAAAAATTATATCAACTTGTGGCATATGTTCCGGAGATCCAGAACTTAATAAAAAATAAATTAATTTTGAAGATCAATTTTATTAACGCGTAAATTTTAAAAACTTTGACAACAGATCTAAACCTCTTATTAATTTAATATTTCGTGGGCCATCTATTACTTGCAATACATGCCTCAATTCTATGAGGCATGCTTTCGATTAATTTCATGTACACATCTTCTGGAATTTTATCCCATTTTTCAATTAAAAGTGCCTCTAACTCCCCTAAGTTTTTTGCTGGCTTAGGTTTTTTTCAAAAACAAGTCTCTAGTTCATTCCACAAATGTTCAATTGGATTTAGGTCAGGAGATTGACTTGGCCATCCTTCCAGAAAAACCAAGAATTTTGCTAATTTTGACTTTTGAATTTCCACCTTTATCCCTCAAAGTATTCTTTAGTAGTAACACAAAATAATATCACGATCTTGCATTCTTATTGGCCAATTTAACGATCTGCAAAGTAAAAATAGTCAATCGACCAACTTTTAAGGAAGATTTTACGAAAACCACAAGGACAACAACCGAATTTTTATTCACAGATCAATCAGCTGAATCCCAAAGATCATTTTTATATTAGTAAGTAATACCTTCAGAAAAAGTTTTTTATAACAGAAAAAAAATTTCGGCTATCAATAGCCGAAAAACCGTTTAAGGAATAGTGACCAATAATTTGTCTTGATTTAAATTTATTTTTAAAATCTTTAATTCAAAATCATGTGAAAAAATTTCTTCCTGAAAATCAGATAACCTTAATTTATCAGATGTAAAAATATTAAACAATGTTATCATGTAAGATTTAGAGCAATGATTAAAAAAACTTATCACGAATTTTTATTTTTCAAAAATGATCAACTTTTTTTGTTTAAGTTCTGGAAAATTTAGAAATATAAAATCTTATATACAGAATCTCCAGAACATAAGCTACAAGTTAATATAATTTTTTTGTATAGTTATTAGTTATTATGTACGTTTTTGCGTAAATGATGTATTTAGGGTGACCGAAACTTTTGCTAAGCCTACTTTTTCCACCTTTATAATGGACTCCCACCAACTCGGAATTTCTTCATAGTCTTTCATATTCTTATGTTCACTGACAAAAAACCACGCCCACATATATGCCAAGAGATCAATTATTCTTGACATGTCATATCTCAAGGTAGCTAGCTTTCTGCATTACAGTTAATTTCTCCTTATTTTTAAGATTTCCGCATGTTGAGATATATTTTCAGCAAATGTCCTTAACGAATTTTCCTGAGGGCAAACTCCAATTCTGTATGTTAGCTGGCACAGAGCTGAAAACTCTGTCCAAAGCAGGAATTTCTTCAACGTCATCATCACTATCATATATAACTATGTTGGGTTGCATTGTTACTCATAGAAGTAAAATCTGGTAGTGATGGTGGCAGTGGTAGCACTGAGCCATCAAGAAGGACATTTCCAGCAACCTTCTCCATTCTCTTTCTACTTCAAATAAAAAATTGTATTGTAGTTACATACTGTTGACATAAGATAAATATGGATGAGAACAGTTTATTAATCTTGATTTCCTTGGTTTGACCAGGATTCAAAAGATAATAGTCATCATTTTCCACAATTTACATATTTGAAAGTTTTTTAAAGAATTGTTATCTAATTTTAAAGAAACAGAAAATTTAAATCTGAAGACTAATAAAATAATTACATAATATAAAGTTTATCTACAAGTTTTGTTTTCACTGTGATTGTATTTAGGTTTAAGTTGGGTTTAGATGATGCTGGGTTATTAGGATCACTATAAATCACATAATTGTTGAAAACATTCTTAATATGATATACACAAATACATCTCTAGTTTTAAGTGATCCTGAGTGGTCTGAGTGTTGTCAAATGTCATGCCATTAATTCATCTCAATCTGATTGGAAAGAATGAATTTGTACTGAGGGTGTTGGGAATATGAATTGCTATGTTGAACTTGGATTGTTTTTTAGTATGGTACTCATATGGTATGCATTATTTATATATATATATATGTCCAAAGAAATGTTCTAATTTAAAATTAGTGGAACAAAAATAATTAATTTTAAAAGAAAAGATTATGAAAATTATTATATATAAATAATGTCATTTTTTGACAAATGAAATTTAGTGATCCTGTTTATTTGGTACAACAATGAGATACAAGGCTTGGAATATTTATTTTATATCAATATATCAAAAATATACATGTAATAGGTTTTGTGGTCATCATTCAAACAAATTTATTATATGGGCAATTGATCAAATACATCTAAATCCATTTGTTGAGAATCTTGAGGACATTGAAAATAAAATAAAATTAATACAAAGGTTAAACTTAAATCAATAAATTAATGAGTAATGTGTGTTAATAATTACCATCACCATTACTAATAATTGTAACTTTATTGGAATTCACAGGTTCAGGAAGATTTTGAAATTTTAATAATCTGCTGGTGTAAATTGCATCAGGATGTATAGTTGCTGTAATTGTTGAAGGATCAAATTCAATCTTATCCATTTCACCAAAAGTTTTTCTAATTGATTCTGCTTCATCAGAATCAATAGTGTAATCACAAGATCCACTCCAAAGTTTAAGGATTTCTTTAATTTCTCTAGCAGTTGGACGTTTGCTAGGATCAGCATCCATGCATTTATATGCTAATTGTATATAAAATTTTGGGGTGTTGTTTGAGAAGGCTGGTCTTAATCCTTCACATATTTTTAATGAAAGGCCTGGGCCAAATGACAAATGATTAAAAGGTTGTTGACCTGTTGACACTAGCGACATTAACACTCCAAAACTATATATGTCAGATTCCATTGTGTATGGTTGACCTTTCAGAACTTCTGGTGCTATATATGGTAGTACACCAACTATATTATTTTCATTTGAAGATGATGTTCTATCAGCTGGGATTGATAACCCTAGGTCTGTAATATATGAACTTAAATGATCTTGTAGAATATTACCACTATGAAGATCATGGTGAATGATTCTTTGATCATGAATTTGTATTAAACCATTGATTATGGTATGAATAATTCCTATTTTTTCCTCCCATCTTAATTTTTTAAATTCACTTGATAAATAATCTCGAAGACTTCCATGTTTTAAATGTTTCATTACAAATATATATTCTTTTGTAATTGGATCTTTTGTTAATCCAAAAATATGAACTATAGCAAGAGAATGATATAATTCAACATAGTTTTTGAACTAAAAATAATAATACAAATAATTTAGACAGAGGAATTGAAGTATCTTGTAAGAAAAGTCAGAAAATAACAATAATAATAAATTTATTAACCTCATTTAAAAATTCATCGGAAAGATTCTGAGAATTATGTAATTTCTTTAATGCAACAGTCATATCTTCGCATTTTTTTGTTGCATTTGTAAAACCTGCAGATTTCCGACCATTAATCCAAGTAGCTTTATATATGTTTGCAAAACCACCTTCACCTATTTTTTTGAGATCTTTCATATCTTCATAAGAAATCCATTGAAGATAAGTAAAATTATTATATTCTGTTGCTTTAAGCTGTGTACTTTTAATCAATTCATCTATAGTCTCATTACCACTAGTCCATCCTTGAGTTAATAATTGTGGATCACATGTTTGACACCATGCCCAATTAGTATTAAATTTATTACAAGTTGAACATGTACCATATTTTTCTTTTCTTTTATCTGAATATGCTCTTTCTTAAATTTAGACAAAATATTTTTTCAATTAATTAATGAAATAAAAAAAAATTAATATTCTGTAAAATTACTAATGCATTACCAAAAAAATTACAAAATTAACAAGTGAATGATTCTAGTTCTAATCATTAAAAACAATATTTAACTAAATATATACTTGTAAAAAACTAATCAGAAGATTGTTATTGATAAAATAAATCATGTAAAAATTGAAATCTGGTGACATACAATATTTTCTAAAAAGAAAAATATAACGCTTAATATAATAAAAGATTAACACCATGATTATAACAATGATAATAAAGTTACCTTCTGCTTCTTTACTAATATGAAGTTGGCTCTTAAGTGCTTCGATCGTTTTTTTTAATTCGGCTTTATCTGCTTCTAACTCTTTAATCTTTTCTAATTTTTCATGCAATTCTCTTTGTAGATGTCTAACTTCTAACAACAAGCCTTGGCCCATTTCAGGAGTTACAGGTGTTAGGCATTCAGTAGGAGAATTTGTTGAACTTGGCAAATTAATAGATCTTATTGAGCTTGGTCTTTCATTCTTTGGTGAAATGGTATTATCTTTTATTGATTGTTTCATTATTATAATTAAAATTAAACACTAACACAAACATAACACAAAAAAAAGATTGAGTCACGACCTCCTTCCAAAACTCGCAAGTCATGCGACTTCCATACAGGCCTTTTGCCGATTGTCTCTTTTTACGTCTAGTCGCGTCTGGTTTTTTCGGTTTTTTGGCGAGATCAACGGTTTCACCATATTTGGAAGCTTCATACATTGTCATACATCTTGTATTTTAACAGTTACTTCCACAAATTCGCAAACTCTACTTTTTCTATTGAATTATTTTGGATTTTTATTTTTTTAGATTACACAATGAAAGTTATGGAATAGAATTTGTCCAATGAAATGTTGTAAACTGTATATATCCCATGCACAACTTGAAGTATAAGGCTCATTTTTCCATTACTAGTACTCGTCCCAGGATAAGACATGCAATGGCGAACCCATGTGACTCACTAAAATATGTTATTAAAGTCCAGCAAGTGGGATAGTGGAACACTTGCTGGTGGCTCATGTTGAGTGTATTGACCCTTCGTGACATGACCTCTCGCTTTTGTAGAGATTGCACCCAATGAATAATATTCAGTGAGTATTTGGTTAATTGGATATCATATAATAAATTATGGGAATTGTTATTCGCGACTAATTGTAGTAATGTGACCAATGAATGGCTTTAAAATGTGATGATTTTATTGATTCATCTTTGTCTTAGTCACAGGAGAGGTGCGAATTAGGGTGTCCAGGATTATGCTTTCGCATAAATCGCTGCACACTTCTTAATTTTTGAGCATAATTGCATAATCGAGCACAATTGACCTTTTTTTGGCATAATCAAATAATCTACGTGTATATGCAAGTGATCGACGATGATTATGTATATATTCAATTACAATTAGAACGTTTGAGGAAAAAAAGTCATTATTATACTTGTCGTCGGAATTCCATAATTACGGCAAATTCGGCATTACTTATAAGCCGTAAATAATTTTCGGCATGAGACCTCAAAGTCATAAAAGTCGTAAACCGTAAAACCGTAAAACCGTGATGCCGTAATGCCGTAA